AATCATCTATTAATTATTAACCCTCGATATATGTATAAACATAGTGTCCACATGTATTACAGCACGATCGTTGTGGAGTCTTGCTACTTTACGACTATTGCGACTAAATGCTCTATGTTGGTTAATAGTAACATATGTCATTCTATTGGGTAATACACTCATCTCACAACATGGAGACCAAAAAGACATGTGAATTAGGGTAGCAAGTGAGAGTATTATATGCTAAGTAGATGAGCATATTATAGACTTATGGATGTGCATGATAGATACATAATGATGAAATCTACCACCAACAAGCATTCTCATTTTAACACCAAAATCTTCAACTTTACTTTCTGTCATTTATTTTTTGTTATTTACTTTTTCGCATCACAATAAACATCAAACCATTTTCTTACTTAGAATAATATATCACTAGTAATCTATCTTTAAAACCACCGATCTTTGTGGATACGATGATTGTAAAACTTACTTTTACCGCACACACAACAAAATGGCGTCGTTATCGAAGTCAGGTATTAAGTTTAAAGATAAACCATAATTTTTATTATTTTAAGTATTGTTTATATTTGTTAGTATTTTTATAGTTTGTTTATAGTCAGTAACCTACTAATCGTGTTAGCTAGTTATGTTTAAAGTGGTTTATGCAAGGTAACAAAATTGTCAAAAGCTTTCACAAAGAAATGCAGGAAATGCCTACACAATGAAAATTTTATTATTGTGAGCTTTGCGCTGGAAGTCATCCCGCATGATATTTCCCTCCACCAGATGAAGTAATAAAATTATTTAACAACCAACAAATACCATGGCAATATCAAAGCAACAACAACTTAAATGTTGAGCAATATGCAGAACCAGTTCCTCCTTAACAGAATGATATATTAAGATTGGAAGAGGCATTAAGCAGTTCATGAAAATGACTAAGGAAAACCATAAAAGAATAGACACTTAAATAAAAAAAATCTTGCAATGCAAATTGTTCATTTAGTCAAGGATCTAATTGATCTATTGATTAATGGCAACACTTAAGCTAACTCAAATGAACAATACAAAGTGAATAAAAATGACAATGGTGAAAAGATGGAAGAAGTTATTGTTGAAACAAAAAAAAGAAGGAAGAAAGTGAGAATGAAGTTTTAGAAATATTTAATTAAAAAGACAGAAATAAACGACAAAATAACAAGGGAGAAAAAATTAAAAAATTCACCTGTTCAAAATCTTCCTTATCCACAGATTCCAACCAAGAACAAAATTCAATACTTAAGGTTTGTAGATATCCTTAAAATACTGCAAAAAAGAACCCCATTCGATAAAGCTTAAAGCAACTTCCTTCCTATATTGAATTCATGAGAGAGAATACGAAGAAGAAAAGAAGATATATCAAGGAATCCTAACACAGACGTCAAGCTAATGACGTTAAAAAAACGCTTTTTGGGAGGTAACCGTACAACTTTTTTTTTATAGTTTTCCTTAGAATTAGACTTTTATTATGTAATTTCAATTTAATCACATTGATGAAAAGTTATATGTCAAGCCACATAAAACATGGGCTCGCTAAGCATAATGGACATGCCATTTCTTGACCAACACGCCTAAGGAAAAACCTAAAAGTCAGAAGCACGAGTTTTTTACTAGCACGACATATCTCGCCTAGTGTGAGGTCTATTTCATAACATTAGAAAACATAAACAAACTTAAATTTAAACTCCCTCACATGATTTTTATCACTTACTTCAGTTCTCTTATTTATGGAAAAAAAATTTAGAACCACTAGAAAACATCATTCAAGGTCAAAATCTTCACCACTCTAAACTTTAATATAGTACAAGGATTGCTCAGGTACGTCATTTTACTTTATTTTTCTTAAAACCTTCATTCACTCTGGACTTTGCTTAAGATTAATGCGAATACCCTAGTGTATGTTAAATTTAAGATGACTATATTACTTATTTGTGATATAATAGGATATAGTAGGATTGACATGCTTGAAAGTTTGAATTGGTTGCTTGAATGCACAAAAGAGGGAAAAATGACATGTTAGAGACAAATAGGTACAAAATGGGTGTTGATGAGTACGAAATTATCCATTATTTACGTAATGTACTTGGTTCCTAAAACGTCTATCTGATACAACATGTCTGTGAATGTCCGCAATATCATGTTTTTTTGGGGCAAATATGGAAATTTTGTCATATTATGCTAACCTATCCAAATTTGATATATGTTATCAGTTACTTGTTTTAGATGGCTTCGGTAATATCAAAATCTAGAAAGAAGTGACAAAATGCTAGCATTGGTTCACCTTCCGTGACATACGATAAACATGAGTTTCAAAGTTTCATTTTACACTGAGTTGGAACCTAGAAATACAATCCAAGAAAAGACTATAGAATTAGAAAGTCTGAGGGAATATTTGGATGTGGTACAAAAGATTAGCTCACAGGGTTGGGGTATTCTGGTTACTCAGAATGAGTTCGTGAATATGGAAATAGTAAAGGAGGCTTACGCCAATGCCAAACCAAATGACGAAGCACCATTAGCTAAAGTTTCTTGGGTACGAGGCAAAGAAATTCCATATGTTGGGGATGCCATCCATTCATGCATCAAATACAACCATTAGGCACACCCTATAAAGTTGGATCCTTTTTCAATGCAGTTGGAAAAATAAAATTGGAAATATGATAAGATAGCCACTTATATCTTGAACCAGGGAAAACATATCAACTGAGACAAAACAAACTTCCTGTTTGTTTTAAACAAACACAAATCTAGACGGCATTCCTAGTCAAAAATGTTATATTGGTAAGTCATAACCTCCTATACCACCCTAAAAACTGCACAAGTTATCTAGTAATTAGTAAAAAGGAAACAAGTAGACATTTCAAAAGTCATATTCAACAAAATTTGAGAGATTGTGGAATCCCTAAAAAGACATGACCTTTGTTTCTTCAAGTTGATTGTGGGGTTGTGTAAGCATTACGTTGTTGGCCTTCCGGATCATCACCACCTCAGACGGGTATCTAAGTTGGATGAAAACATTCATCACATGCCACAATTATAATTTTTCCTTCTAAGAGCACACATGATTCTAACAAATTTGGTCGTTTTAAATATTATTATTTTTACTTCCTAAAAAATTAGGTTTCATTGACTCTATCAAATTTAATTTTCGTTATAAATACAAATAACAAATAACAAATTTGATTCAACAAGATATTATTAAGAAGAAAAAAATTACTTAATTTCTTCAATAACACAAAATTTCATAAGAATATGCCACAATTATATCAAATTGATTATTTTATCAAATAAAAATATCAATTTTAATTATATAACACATTTGGTCCATTTATTTTGCCTTTTTTTATTTATTTATGTAGAGTAACATAATTTAGTGTAAAAAATATTTAGAAAGAAATTTTCATAAAAGCTTTAAATGAAATTTTGGTTTGAATAATTATTCTTAAAATATTAAATCATTTAATTTTGAAACTATTTTGAATAATTTTTTTTAAAATTCATTTTTGGATTAGATTGGTTAACGTGTGTCATCTTAAAGGCCATGATGTGTTAAGTTGGGAGATTCCCTTAACATGTCCGTGGAAGGTTAGGAAAATTGTGAAAAGTAGAGATATTATACTCAACATGAATTATTGAGGCAACATTCCTGAGGGCAATAAATCCTCCACTACAGGTATGTATTATGAGTTGTGAGACAATAAAGTTCTGGTGGATTAGAGAAAAATGTTGATAGATAATCATACTCGACCTAGAACAAAATTCACACTTTGGTTGTTGCTTAATGGTAGACTTCCCACAAAAGATAGATTGCGGAAGTTTGGTTTAATTAATAACAATAACAGTTGTTTCTGTGATACAGATGAGTCTATGGACCATCTTTTCTTCTCTTATGCAGGTTTTCATAGCACTTGAAGTGGTATCCTCTTGTGTCTGGGCATTTGGAGAAGACCGAATAATTTGAATGAAGAGAAAATTTGGATGATTAGAGAAACAAAGAAAAAGGACTGAGAGGATACTATCTTAAAAATGACCATAGCAGAAATGATCTATAAGCTTTAGAAAAGTAGAAATGAAAAATTGTTCTCATAAAAGGACATAGAGCCTGTGTTTTGATTGAGAACATTATTCATGATATAATCGTTAGATGTAGCTTGCGTAGAGATTTAAATGGCCATGTAAATGCAAGTGTTTTTTTTGTTTTAATTAGAGTTTTTGTTTGACATGTTTCCTTTGGATCAGTGTGTAATATTTATTTGAAAATAAAATTTATTGCTATTATTCCAAAATAAAATAAAATTATTTTTGTGATACAATTTTTTTAAAAAGTTGCGATTTTAACTATATTTATATTTATGTTATAAAATATTAAAATTAGTCTTTTAATTTAGAAAAACAAATATAAAAAAATTATAATATTTTAAAAAATAGTTTATAGAGAATATATTATTTTATTAAAAAAATGTATTTCTTAAAATCTAAAACAATTTTATTTATAAGAAGCAAACAATTATATTTATTCAATAAAAAAAATCAAAATGAAGAAGATTATAAAAAATCCATAACAAATTTTGCAAAAATATAGCACAACAATAACAAATTTGATTTGACAAGATATTATAAAAAACAAACCAGAAAACATTATTAATTTCTTCAACAAAAAAAGAAAATTAAAACCAAAAAACTTATCATAGTTTATAATTCAAAATATCCCAAAAATATGCTTCTAAAAAATAACAACAAATTTGATCATAAACAAAAATAACAAACTTGTTTCAATAAGATAATATAAGAATCAAATTAAAAGAAAAAAGCATTATTAATTTCTTCCATAACACGAAAAGAAGCAAACCCAACCCACTCTATAAATATCTTCCAAACACTCCCAAACCAAACCCCACACCCTCAGATCTATAACTTCTTCATTTCCTCTCATCAAAATTCAGAAACAAAACTCAACCGCCTCTTCTGATCGTTCCGCCATGGCCAATCAACCTGAATCCTCCGATGCGTAAGTCCCAATCTCCCCTTTCGTTTCAATTCTTCTCAATCTCTCTTTTTTTGTTGTAATTTTGATGAATTCGATCATGTTTTTGTTTTTGTTTTTGTTTTTGTTTATCTTTCTTCAGTAAGGGAACTAAGAGGGATTTTAGCACTGCGATCCTGGAACGCAAAAAAGCTCCTAATCGTTTGGTTGTTGACGAAGCTGTCAACGATGATAACTCCGTTGTTGCTCTTCATCCCGAGACGATGGAGAAGCTTCAACTCTTTCGTGGTGACACTATCTTGATCAAGGTATGGTTTATTTTTCAATTAAATGATTAGGTTTTCACCACTTAATTGGTTAAATTAAATTAGTATTTGGCTTAGGGTTAAGATTTAACAAATCAATTTGTTGATATAATTGGTTGGGTATAGGGTTTTAGAGGTTTTTAGTGGTAATCTGTTTTAACTATGAAATTTACTGTGTTAAAATTTTCTGGTCTTGCGGTTAATGTTTGGGCAAATTGCTTTAGATTTTTGGTTTCTTATTGTGGTATTATATTTGATTAGGGTGATTTGTTTGTTAATTAATTATTGGGTTTTGTTTGCTGATTTTGGTTTGTAGGGTAAGAAAAGGAAAGATACTATCTGTATTGCACTTGCTGATGATACATGTGAGGAGCCAAAAATAAGAATGAACAAGGTTGTGAGAAACAATCTTAGGGTTAGGCTTGGAGATGTTGTTTCGGTGCATCAATGCGCTGATGTCAAATATGGAAAGAGAGTTCACATTCTTCCTGTGGATGATACTATTGAAGGAGTGACGGGGAATCTATTTGATGCATACTTAAAACGTGAGTTGCTTTTTCATTGTGTTTTTGTGTATTCAATAAGGGTTTTTTTCATCTGCTTTATCTTTTACTCTCTATCTGCCATGCACATTGGTATTTGTCTTTTGTCATAAGATTCTTTCCTATTTGTTCAGGGAGGGCTGGAAAGTTGAAGGGTGGTAGTTTGTCTTACAATATTCAGTATTTTTTTTCTTTTGGTATATTTTTTGTGTTTATACAATGCTTGTAGTTGGGAATAATGGCTGGATTGCATTGCAAGAAAGCATTTTTTAGTCAATTACTATTTTGTTTTCTCAAACATTACATCACGATAAAATGATCCCAAAATTTGCAATCATGGATAATCAATGATCCTTATTATTGTTACCTTTTGCTATGATGGTTTCAATATAATGAGATAATCAATTCATTTATATCCATGCTCTGTCATTGTCAGTTTTGTGCCGATTTATTGTTTCCTAGCATTTATTTCTCTGAAAATTCTGCGACTATGTTTGTACTTCATTTTCTATGATAAAACATACAAGCAGTTCATGTAATGTTTTTTACTTGCAATTTATTGAATTTCGAACAGAAACATGCCACAATTTACAGACAGGAAAGGTCACCAGTTTCTTACTGGCATCGACCCCCTCATGACATATAGACGTGCTGCATTCTAATTTCTTTTGAATTCTAATCCCAGTTTTATGTTTGCAGCTTATTTTCTGGAGGCATATAGACCAGTGAGGAAAGGTGACTTCTTCCTTGTGAGAGGAGGGATGAGAAGTGTAGAATTCAAGGTTATTGAAACTGATCCACACGAGTACTGTGTTGTTGCCCCTGACACAGAGATCTTCTGTGAAGGAGAGCCAATTAAAAGGGAAGATGAGAATCGATTAGATGAGGTTGGTTATGATGATGTTGGTGGTGTAAGAAAGCAGATGGCACAGATTAGGGAACTGGTGGAACTGCCTCTGAGGCACCCACAGTTATTTAAGTCTATTGGTGTCAAGCCACCAAAAGGGATTCTATTGTATGGACCCCCTGGATCTGGAAAGACTTTAATTGCCCGAGCAGTTGCAAATGAAACAGGTGCCTTCTTTTTCTGCATTAATGGCCCTGAGATAATGTCAAAACTTGCTGGTGAAAGTGAAAGCAATCTAAGGAAGGCATTTGAGGAAGCAGAGAAGAATGCTCCATCCATCATCTTTATTGATGAGATAGATTCCATAGCTCCTAAGCGAGAGAAAACTCACGGTGAAGTTGAGAGAAGGATTGTTTCCCAGCTATTGACTCTCATGGACGGTCTTAAATCACGTGCACATGTAATTGTCATGGGAGCCACAAATAGGCCCAATAGCATTGACCCTGCACTTAGGAGGTTTGGAAGGTTTGATAGGGAGATTGATATTGGTGTTCCAGATGAAATTGGACGCCTTGAGGTTCTTCGAATTCATACAAAGAATATGAAACTTGCTGAAGATGTAATATTGAAATTACTTTTCTCTTAAGTTATGGTTTGATTTGAATAATATGATTTTTGAAAGAAATTTGTCCTTCCTGACATTTGCAGGTTGATTTAGAAAAGATTGCTAAAGAAACACATGGTTATGTTGGTGCTGATTTAGCTGCATTGTGTACTGAAGCAGCACTTCAATGCATCAGAGAAAAAATGGATGTGATTGACTTGGAAGATGAGACAATTGATGCCGAAATATTGAACTCCATGGCAGTGACAAACGAGCATTTTGCTACTGCTCTTGGATCAAGCAATCCTTCTGCTCTCCGTGAAACGGTACACATTTACCCAGAAATTTGTGCTTGTCTGTGTTAAGCTACCTGTTCTCTTGTTCTCACTTTATTGGGTGTGTATAATCTTAAATTCTCTATTGAAACAGGTTGTTGAAGTGCCTAATTGCAGCTGGGAAGATATTGGTGGTCTTGAAAATGTTAAGAGGGAACTCCAGGAGGTGAGTAAAACTCTTGCATAATCACATTGATAACCAGTTTCCTCTTATCCGCCTCTGAACATTTTTGTTCTCTTTTGCAGACTGTTCAATATCCAGTGGAACACCCTGAAAAGTTTGAGAAGTTTGGAATGTCTCCTTCAAAGGGAGTTCTTTTCTATGGTCCTCCTGGTTGTGGTAAAACACTTTTGGCAAAAGCTATTGCCAATGAATGCCAGGCAAACTTCATCAGTATCAAAGGTCCTGAGCTGCTCACAATGTGGTTCGGAGAAAGTGAGGCAAATGTGAGGGAAATTTTTGACAAGGCTCGTGGTTCTGCTCCATGTGTCCTATTCTTTGACGAACTTGACTCCATTGCAACTCAGGTTGGTACCTGTCCGGGTTACTAAGCTATGATTTGGACTTTGGGCAAATTTTATCGTCAAACTTTTACAACTCTTCATTCATTTCAACTATTTCAAATATAGAACATTTGGTTACATAACTTCTGTTTTTCTTTAACTTGCAGAGAGGTAGTAGTGTAGGAGATGCTGGGGGTGCAGCTGACAGAGTTTTGAACCAGCTGCTAACAGAAATGGATGGGATGTCAGCAAAGAAAACTGTGTTCATCATTGGTGCCACTAACCGACCAGACATTATTGATCCAGCTCTTCTGCGTCCAGGGCGTCTAGACCAGTTGATTTATATTCCTCTCCCAGATGAAGATTCCCGTCATCAGATATTTAAAGCTTGCTTGAGAAAATCCCCCATCTCAAAAGATGTTGATATTAGAGCTCTTGCGAAGTACACCCAAGGCTTTAGTGGTGCTGATATTACTGAGATTTGCCAGCGTGCATGCAAGTATGCCATTAGAGAGAATATTGAAAAGGTACAGTTTTGAGCTTCTCCCTTTTCTATTTACAATTGAAATTTAAAATTGTTTAAGAAATTGGATCTGTTTTAATATCTTTTATTGTTTCTTATTACCCTTACCAGGACATTGAAAAAGAGAGAAAGAGGAGCGAGAACCCTGAAGCCATGGAAGAGGATGTTGATGATGAAGTAGCGGAAATTAAGGCAGCTCATTTTGAGGAATCAATGAAATATGCCCGAAGGAGTGTAAGTGATGCAGACATTCGCAAATACCAGGCATTCGCCCAAACATTGCAGCAATCCAGAGGGTTTGGAACTGAGTTTAGGTTTGCGGATTCCGGGTCCAGTGGTGCTGCTGCTGCAGGTGCATCTGATCCATTTACATCTGCTGGCGGAGCCGATGATGATGATCTTTACAGTTAGGTTACTTTTATGCTGGCTGATCATTGAAAGAATGCCTGAACTGTTCATGTACTTGTCATTTTGCGTATCTCCAAGGCTTCCTTTGGATTGTTGTTATTGTCATTGCTTCTTAAAAGCATTGTTTATATGGCAAACATTAGGTGCAATTTTAAAGTTGGATAACTGTTTAGTTTTTCTGTAACTCGACAGCTTTTGAAACTTTCACATGAACAAAGTTTTACACAGATTACAAATTTGTCTTTTTAAAGTTTTTATATATAATCGATGTTATGCTTTCACATGCACCAAATTTTGGTTTGTGTTTTCTGCGAGATGTTTGGGACTGAAATAATGATTCTGCGTTTTTTTTAAATATGCTGAAAAAAAAAGAACATTGCAAATATCTGTTTTATCATGTATAACAACTTTAGAAATCTTTAATATATTAAAGCAAAATCAGCCTCTGCCTAAATCATTTTCTCATAGAGTTTCCATCTAATTTTACTGTCGGAATTCTTTATTTAAGAAAAACTATTTCTTTTCTCATGGCCATATTGGCATAAACCCTGGTATTACTTTGAAATTTGGTGTCTTATTATCTGATGATTGTTTAATTCTTCTGTAATTTTTTTTTCCAGCTTAATCAATTTAATAGGTTAATAACAAAATACAAAATTAATAGCATATGAAAAACACTTATCAATTGTTAAATTTTAGCAATCTCAAAAATCTTAATAGCATATCTAATATAATAAAAGTTTCTTAATCCACTAAAAATATTACATAAACATTATAAAATAGTACAACTTTTTATAATAGTACAACTTAAAAAAATAAAAACTAATGAAAAAAATAATTTCATAATAAAAATGTCAAATGTAATAAATTATAATATATTCAAATTAAATGAATTATGACTAAATTTAAAAATGAAATTAACTATAATAAATAAGTAATATAAATTGATTAAATAAATTATAATAATTAAACAAAAAAATATTTAAATTATTAAAAAAAAAATGATACATTGCAAGCTATGGACAGAGAAGATTTACCCTATACCCCTGCACTTATACCCATACCTCTACAATTTTAAAAAAATACAAATTTTATCCTTATATATTTTTATATTTTATTATTATTTTTTTACTTTTTACCGTATCAGATTTTTTAGACTTTCGAGAAATTCACCACACGACCTATCGGAACACTATCAAAATGACTTTCGGTAAACTTTTTTCCTCAAACCGGAAGACTTTGGTAAAGAGTTCCGGTTCACACAAATTATGTACCGGAAGACTTTATGAAAGACTTCCGGTTTGATAATTTTCGTGGGTGTTCATCGGAAGACTTGTAAAAAGAGTTCCGGTACTTGTAAAAAGTACCGGAACACTTTTTACAAATCTTTCGGTTTGTGTTTTTTGGCTACCAGAACTCTTTCTCTGAGTCTTCCGGTTTGCATTGTCCATTTTTTTGAATTATTTTTGAATTCTTTTTAAATTCTTTTTTTATGTACATTCAGAAGTGCCTTTACAAATATGCGATAAAGATCAGATATGCGTAAATACGTCTGATATTTTTTCAACTACTCAAAGATTTGGTACACGAGAAGAGGTAATACGATGGATTAAAGAGATCGAAATTCGAAATAAAGTAACGGTTATCATCACTCGTTCAAATATTGAAACAGGAAAGAGAGGAAGAAGTAACAAATTAATATTTGGATGTGATAGAGGAGGAAAACACAAAGATATTGATAGTAGAACCCAGAGTGCGACGAAAAAATGTGGATGTCCATTTAGAATCAGATCAATTTCAGCGACCGATGGATCTGGATGGAAGATTGATGTAAAATGTGGAGTTCATAACCATGATTTACCTGATAGATTAGAAGGTCACACATTTGTTGGTAGGTTGACAGCAGATCAGAAGCAACATGTTGTTGATTTGACAAAGAGAAAGGTTCCACCTAGACATATATTGCTTTCATTGCAAGAGCAAGATCTAGATAATGACACTCGGATCACGCAAATATACAAGCAGAAGAGTATGATAGAAAAAAATATAAGAAGTCCTAGAAGTGAGATACAACATTTGTTTAAGCTTATTGAGGAAGCAGGTTATGCTTATTGGAGTAGAAAAAGAGATGACTCTGAAGTTATTAGAGATATCTTTTGGGCTCATCCAGATTCAATTAAGTTGTTGAATATTTTTTCTATTGTGCTAGTTATGGACAACACTTACAAGACAAACAAATATAGGCAACCTCTGTTTGAAATTGTTGGCATGACATCAACCGAGTTGACTTTTGCTGTCGCATTTTCCTATATTAAGTATGAGCAGACTGAGACTTTTTGTTGGGTGCTAGATAAGCTTAAACAATTGTTTGTGAAGAAAGAATTGTGTCCACAAGTGATTTTGACGGATAGAGATCTTGCTTTGATGAAAGCCATTGAAATTGTGTTTCCAAGGTCGATCAATATGCTATGTCGATTTCATATTAACAAGAATGTTGGTGCAAAACGGAAACAATATGTGGCTAGTGACATGCAAAAGAAAATTGACGAATTATGGACGGATGTTGTATGGGCTAGTGATGAGGTTGAGTATGATCAAAGGTTGAACCAACTTGAGCAGACGTGTGTTGATTGCAATGAATTTATTGATTATGTGAAGGACACATGGTTGACACCACATAGACAAAGATTTGTTGGAGCATGGATTAATCGAGTGCTACATTTGGGTAACACCACGACTAATCGGTATGTATTTATTTTTAGTATTTCTAAATTGTATATTTTTTTTTGAATTTTTTAAAAATATTTAAATATGTATTAATTTTAGGGTTGAGTCTGCTCATTGGAAGTTAAAGCAAATGTTGGGGAACAATATTGGTGACATGGTCAAATGTTGGGAGGCTATGAATGACAACTTAAAGTTACAATTGAGTAATATTAGAGCTTCTTTTCAAAAGAGTTTTTATGAAGTTGAGCACGCCCACGTAAGTCCATTTTACAATAATTTACGTGGTTCACTGTCTCGAGATGCATTGAGACACATTGCTGAAGAGTTAAAATGAGTTGATTATGTTGGAACTAACAAGGAAATATGTCGTTGTACTCTTAGAACAACCTACAAATTACCTTGTGCTTGTGAGTTGACAGGATATAGAATTGATGGTTTACCGATACCAATAGATGTTGTACATGTTCATTGGAGAAAACTAAGTATGGAAGTTAAGTTGGACGAAGACGTAGATGATGGATCAGATGTGGATATGAGTAGTGCAATAGATGAGTTATAGAAAATGTTTAAGTCACTGGATGTTGTTGGGAAAAGGGAATTAAAAAGTAGGATTTTTGAACTTGCCTTCCCTATAATGACTTCTATGTGTCCACCACCTGAGAAAATAAAAACTAAAGGGGGAGTCAAGAAGAAAGACAAAAAACCAGTAAGATATGATGTTTATAGAGACCCTTCGTATCACGAGTATGTTGATCAAGCATCTCAATCTTCACAGATGCAATCTCAACCATCACAAACTTCGAAGAAATTGAAATTATCACAGTCTTCACAAAAGAAATCTCAACCATCACATGCTTCGAAAAAGTTGAAATCATCACAATCTTCACAGTCATCTAAGCAGTTCATCCTTCAATTTCCTAATCACATCAGGTCATATATTGATGATGTAGTTAATGTTGTATCAGATAGTAATTGTGGATTTCGAGTCATTGCTTCATTGCATGGATATGGTGAAGATGGTTGGCCAATGGTTCGTTGAGACTTGGGGTTGGAAATAATACATAATGAAAGATCAAGTTTGTATGCCAATTTATTTACTGATCAGTTAGCAGTAGTGAGAGAATCTTTGATGATAGAGGAATTTGGTCCTCAACCACCACATAAATGGTTAACTCTACCAGATATGGGTTACGTGATAGAGAATCGTTATAATGTTGTACTTGTCTGTTTAGGAATTGAATGCTGGACTTTCTTCCCTATGACATCTTCATTTTCACCGAATGTAGCAATTTACTGCATTGGTTTTGTAAACAGAAATCATTGGGTTCAGGTACTTAGTTGTTTTTAGATAATGCGATTAAACCTAATTCTTTTTCGTTATTTTTACTTAATATTGTGATTATTTTTTTATTTAGGTAAACATGAAAGAAGAGTTTCCATTGCCACCAGTGATAGTAGATTGGAAGAAGTTTCGTTCTCCAGCAACAACATCTTGGATGATAGGATTTGCAGGACGTCTACAACATTGACAACAACTTACGCCTATATTACCAACGCATTATGAATTATAAATTATGTTACTCATTTTTAATTTCAAAACAAGAATCGTGAATTATGTTACTCGTTTTTAATTTCAAAACAAGAATCGTGAATTATGTTACTCATTTTTAATTTCAAAACATGAATCGTGAATTATGTTACTCATTTTTAATTTCAAAACATGAATTGTGAATTATGTTACTCATTTTTAATTTCAAAGTATGAATCGTGAATTATGTTATTCATTTTTTTATTTCAGGCTACAAGTTAACACATAAACATAAACTAAATAGGTCAAATGAGTCTAAAAATTAACACATGAACATAAACCAATTAGGTCAAATGAGTCTAAAGGTTAACATTTAACCATAAATATAAATATAAGTCACTGTGATCGACCAAGATGTAAAGCTTTGAACAAATCAGCAAACTATGGGTCATCCTCTTCAACACCAACCTGTTGAAGATAACGATGAACCAATGCAGACATACGAGCCAATATAGGATTAGATGGTCCTGCTTCATATACATGAACTGACATCTCTGTTGTCGCATCAACACTGGGCGGTACCAGACGAGGATGCGAAACACGATAATACCACTCAAGATACCTATCATCCGTCTCATATGGGGTGGTGGCCGGTGCTGTCGGACGAATCGCATTCTGAACGCTCTGATGGTAACTAATCCAGTCAACATCAATATCACCAACCATTCGAGAATCAAGAGGTGGATGT